AGACGATGTTGTTTAAGAAACCATATTTATTGCATTTGCTTTATGTACATATTGGCATACAAAATATCTAAAACAATAAGTAGAACAAACGGATGTCAATGTTTACGTTATTACGGGCGGTACGGGAAGGAGTAAGACTACAGCGTGAGATTATGGGGACTTTTGGTTTCTACTTTATACATTTCTTTATTGTTTGCATTTTCAATTTTTAAAAATTAGTAGCTATTTTGTTATTACGGGCGGTACAGGAAGGAGTAAGACTACAGCGTGAGATTATGGGGACTTTTGATTTCTACTTTATACATTTCTTTATTGTTTGCATTTTCAATTTTTAAAAATTAGTAGCTATTTTTTATTGTTTGCATTTTCAATTTTTAAAAATTAGTAGCTATTTTTTATTGTTTGCATTTTGAATTTTTAAAAGTGAATATATATTTTATAGAAAAATTCTATATATTCTCAGTAAAAAAAAAAAAAAACTAAATAAGGACTCAAACCCCAAAGGGGCTTTTCATGTTTGTCTAATTATGAATTCCCTTAACTTTGTTACTGGTTATTCAAGTGAGGGGTGTGTGTGTTTTGTGCATGTGAGGGTGAGAAAGAGAGCCAGAGAGAGAGGGAGGAAAGGAGAGGGAGAGACAGAGGGAGAGAAGGGGGGAGAGGGAAAGAGGGAGAGGAGGAAGGAAAGAGGAAGGGAGGGAAGAGAGGAGAGGAATGGCATGAAGGAGAGGGAGGTGGGGGAGCTTGCCAGCACGCCAGGGAGCACATGCCTGAGACTTGCTCTGGCTGGCCAGGGTGGGGAGCAGAACGAGGACAGGAAAGTTGCCTTGTCACTCCACCTGCATCTTTTAGCAGCTGTAATGCAGCAGGCAAGACCTCCCCTGCTCCCTTAGCATTGGCTCCTTTGAGGTGGCTGTGGCTCCCAGGAACCTTCCAGATTGAGGGTTGATGTTATCTTCACATTCTTCCTGCTATTTCTCACCTTGGGCTCTGCACACAGACACTTAGCGTGTCCCCATGCGTGACTTCGTATTTCTTGCTGTGTTTCTCTGGAGAGGATGTTTCCTGCATTTGTTTTGATCCTGTCTTCCAGAGGGCTTGGAAAGGAGCCTCCCATCTTCCCTCCACCTCCACGCCTGTCATTCTCCTGAGTGAAAACATCCTCACTTCTGCCCAGAAATCCCTTCGTCTGTTTCCTACACTCTCCTGATGTCAGCTGCTCCAGATCTGCTCTGCTCTCCTCCAGCCCTGGTCCTGAACCCTTATTCCCAGAGAATTAGTCCTGCGCCTCTGAGGTGTGCTGATGTTGCTGTCGTGGAGGAGCATGCTCACACAGACACTTAGCATGTCCCCATGCGTGACTTCGTATTTCTTGCTGTGTTTCTCCGGAGAGGATGTTTCCTGCATTTGTTTTGATCCTGTCTTCCAGAGGGCTTGGAAAGGAGCCTCCCGTCTCCCCTCCACCTCCACGCCGGTCATTCTCCTGAGTGAAAACATCCTCACTTCTGCCCAGAAATCCCTTCGTCTGTTTCCTACACTCTCCTGATGTNGTCATTCTCCTGAGTGAAAACATCCTCACTTCTGCCCAGAAATCCCTTCGTCTGTTTCCTACACTCTCCTGATGTCAGCTGCTCCAGATCTGCTCTGCTCTCCTCCAGCCCTGGTCCTGAACCCTTATTCCCAGAGAATTAGTCCTGCGCCTCTGAGGTGTGCTGATGTTGCTGTCGTGGAGGAGCATGTCCTTCTCTTTAGAAGATGCATGCCAAAGTATTGAGGAATGAAGCATCATGTTTACCATGCACTTTTGAGTGATTCAGCAAAAAGGAGAAAAAAGGATTGAAAGAAGAAAAAAGAGAAAGTCTATATGGCAAAATATTACCATCAGCTGAGTCTAGATGGAAGCTATGCACGTGCTTGGTGTACTGTTCTCCCAACTTTTCTGCATATTTTACATATTGTATGTCACACAGTTAAAAAGCGAGGAAAGAGGAGAAACTTCAATATCCATATTTACTGAGGAGCGTGAGATCACTTGGTGGAACCACGTAAATGTCCCTGAACTTGTCCCTTCTTCTCCATCACCACTGCTACTGCCTGGGTTCAGGCCTCCTCATCCCCAGCCATGTAGGAGACAGCCTCTTCACGGGGCTTCCAGAGCCAGTCTATCCCCTCCAACCCATTCTCCACAAAGTGGCCAGGAGATGCCCAAACACAGCATCACAGCCCCCAGGGCCCTCTGTGCTCTGGCCACAGCCTGCTCCACCAGCCTCATCTCCCATGGCTGCCATCACCTGCCAAATTGCAGGTGATCATCCAGCCAGAGGAACCATTTCCAGCTCCTTGAGGCTGACCCCCTGCTCCACTTTCCTGCTGAGGAGGCCATTCCTCTCCCGCCAACCTTCCTCCTTGGCTATCCTGGCAAACTCCTCTCCATCCTGCAGGACTTGGCTCTAGTGTCACCTTTTCCAGGATAGCTCTTCTGATTTCCTCCTGTCCTACCTTTTCATTCCCCTCCCTCCTTAAGCCACCACCTTGTTCTGTGCATACATGCGTGCCTCTTGTTTATGAACAGTGACTGGGCCTCATTCATTTATGCCAGCACCTTGCTCAGGCACTGCCATGTAGTAACCAAACAGATCATTGTACGTGAGGGAATGAATGAATGATGTTCCAAGTTAGGAAAGTGAGAAAACCTTCTCCTGATTTGCATACATGTACACGAAAGTGAAATCATCACTGTGCTCTTGATTCACTCATTGTTTAGTCAATATTTATTGAGAGACTCCCATAGACCCACTAGTCATAGAACTAACTACTTTAATACCTGGGTCGGTCCTTCCTTCCTTCCTTTCTTCCTTCATCAAACAATTCAGCTGGGGGCACTGTGCTGACAGCCAGGAGATTTGCAAAGATAAATAAGGCAGAGACCACAGCTCTAGAAGGGGAGGTAAGGCACGAGCATAAATAAAGGAGAAAAGTGTGGTCAGCGTCAGAAGGGAAATAGGCAACAGGCAATGGGAGTTCAGAAGAGGGAGAAATGACTCCTAGGAGTCCTCCAAAAAGTGGATGAGGGAAGACTTCCTGGGTGAGATGACATCTGCACTTGACTTTGAGGGATGGGAATTTTAGATACAAGTCTTTGGAGGGGGGAGGACATTCTAGGTGGAGGGCAGAATGGAAACAAAGTCACAGAGCTAGTCCATGAGCATATGCTCAGGGGTCACCAGTAATTTAGCTGTGCCAGAATGACTTTGAAAAGAAATGGTGGAAAATAAAGTTGGGACAGTAGGTTGAGGTCATGGTGGCCTTGAAAGCCAAGATAAAATGTTTAGCTCTTATTCTGTGAGCACAGGGTGCTAAGGAAGGTTTCTAACCAGAGGGCAGATTGATCAAGTATGCTTCCAGAAGTCTACCCCAGAGTGGTTTGCAGGATCAAAGTATCTTAACTTGTTCCCCTAATAGTGCAAAGTCCCCAAGAGCGCTGATGACCTCATTTTGCATAGGATTTAGCTCGAAAACCTGCACATAGCAAACACTTAATACATTAATTTTAATTGAACCGAGTCTAAAGACATATGTACATCAGTGAACCTGTGAATATTTATATCCCTTGCAGCAACACACCCATTCAGCCGGTTCCCCTTAACTGAAAACTCTCAAGGGTGGGGATCTTCTCCTAGCTATACTTCTGCCCCTTTTCTTGACTCCCACTATTGTAAATCATCAACACTTCATTCCTGGATCATTGCAACGGACTCCCGATGGTTGCCTTCCCATGAGCTCTCTGCACTGCAAATAACCCTGGTGAACCAACCTGCTCAAGAAGCTACCCTGGCTCCCCCTTATTTATTGGCATTTAAGATCCTCCATAACCAGGCCACACTCTAACTCTTTCTGTCTTTCATTCTGTACCCACATGTATGCCCTACTCTGGCCAGATTCTTTCCTCCCAAATTCCCTTGATCGATCCTCTTTTGACACTACCACGCATACTCCTACCCCAACCTGCTCTTTCCTCATAACTCATCCGAGCCACAGCTCAAGGCCCAGCTTCTCCATCTGTGTAACACAGTGTAGAGTCAGAAAGACCTGCATTTATATCCCAGCTTTCTGATTCCCCATGCAAACTGAGACATGCTATGCATTCTCTTGGAATCTCAGTTCTGTAAAATGGGAATAATAAGAATCTCTATTTATTATTAGGGCTTATTATTACCATCATCATTATCAATAGGGCTATTGTAAAAAGTTAATAAGACAGGCCCTGAGCTTGATAAATGATAATGCTCCTTTCTTCTCTGACTCCTCGGAACTCCAATAAGGAATTCCTGTTGTCAGTCACTTATATGGGAAAGAAGTTATATTTTGAGGGTGTATGTAACCAAGTACAGACACTGATGGGCTTTTGTTGTTTATTCCCTCCACAAACCTAAAACACAAGCGTTTCCATCCTCATTTTATAGATGAGGAAACAGACTGAGAAAGGGAAGCAGTCTGTCTGGGATGTTGCAGTTCTAAGCTGACCCCTATTTACTGTCAGAGAAATAACTACAGCAACTAAACATTTACTATGTTCCAAGTACTACGCTCAGCACATTACATGCAATATCTCATTCCAGTGCTTTATCTGGAGAACCACACTCTACAGCAGGAGACAGTGAGACTCAGAGAGGTGAAGGGATATGCCCAAAGTCCTGCAAACCATATGTGAAAGAACCGGGATTCAAACTGGGATCTGTACGGCTTCAAGCCTATGCCTTCAACTGCTCTGCTGTAACTGTGCTGGCTAGACCAGTCAGTTGCCTGGACATGGAATGCAGCCCTCTGAGGCTGAGAATGGCTTTTCCAGGTTTTCCACAGGACCCAGCCCCAGCCTGGGGTCATGGAAACCACTGCTGATCACAAGGGCCTCCAGGTGGGGGGAGGGGCAGGCATCAGCTGGGTGGCCTGGTGAGAATGTTGGTCATGGCAGCCCTGAACAACTAGGCCCTGACACTTACCCAATGGTGCAGCCAGCATCTGCTTCGATGGTCCAGATGCAGTTGAGATTGTGTTCATAGGGAGCTGGATACCCAGGTGACAGCACCTGTCCCGTCGCCTCTCCTTTCACTGTCCCTCCACACTCAGCTGAAAGAAATCCCAAGAGAGTGAGCTTCATGGGGTGGCCTGATCTGCCAGCTGTGTTCCTGTTGCCTGTGTGCCCCTGGGTCCCTCTCCTTCATTCCAGGTGATTGAGCACAGCATGTATAAAGGTCCCTGGATGAGATTTGTATCCAGAACCTGTAAAGAACTCCTACAACTAAACAATAAAAAGGCAAATAACTCAGTTAAAGAATGGGTGAAGCATCTGAATAGACATTTCTCCTAAGAAGATATACAAATGGCCAATACACGTATAAAAAGATGTTTAACATGGTTAATCATTAGGGAAATGCGAATCAAAACCACAATGAGACAGCACTTCACACCACTAGGATGGCTACAATCAAAAGACAGACAGTAACAAGTGTAGATGCGGATGTGGAGAAACAGGAACCCTTGTACATTTCTGGTGGAGATATAAGCTTTGGAAAACAATTTAGTAGTTCCTCAAAATGTCAAACATAGTGACCATATGACCTACCAATTCTTCTCTTAGGTATATGGCCAAGAGAAATGAAAACATGTTCACACAAAAACTTGCACACAAATCTTCATAACAGCATTATTCATAGTAGCCCCAAACTGGAAACAACCCAAATGTCTATCAACTGATGAACGAATAAATGAATTATAGTATATCCCTTCAATGGAATATTATTCAGCCATAGAAAGGAATAAAGTTCTGATACATGCTCCAACATAGATAAACTTTTTTTTTTTCCTTTTTGTCTTTTTTTACTGACCGGTAATGGGATCGCAACCCTCGGTGTCGTGCCCGTACCGGGGACCGGCAATGGGATCGCAACCCTTGATGTTGTGCCCGCACCGCGCTCAGCCAGTGAGTGGGAACCGGTCTCCACATGGGATCCGAACCCTTGGCGGGAGCGCCTCCCAAGCGGCGCACTCTCCAGTGCACCACCGGGCCGGCCCCAACATAGATAAACTTTGAAAACATTAGCTAAGTCAGAGAAATCAAACATAAAAGGCCACACATTGTGTGATTACAGTTATATGATATATCTGGAACAGGCAAATCTATAGAAACAAAAAGATTAGTGGTTGTCAGGGCCTAGGGGCAGGGGGCAATGAATAATGACCACTACTAGGTACGAAGCTTCTTTCTGGGGGGACAAAATGTTCAAAAAGTATATTGTGATGATGGCTGCACAACCCTGTGATGGTGGCCCTGAACAACTGGGCCCTGACACTTACCCAACAGTGCAGCTGGCATCTGCTTCGATGGCCCAGATGCAGTTGAGACTGTATTGTACCTTTTAATTGGTGAATTGCATAGTATGTGAATTATATCACAATCAACCTGCTGGAAAAAAACGTCCTTGTGCTGTGACCAAACTCCTGCAAGCCTCGTAGGGAGGAACATGCAGCTATTGAACCAGTGCATTGACAGCAACGCAGTCTGTGTTAGCTGCCAGGAGGACAGAGGCCAACACGACACTGTACTTCATGTGGGAGGGTTTACGGTCACTGGAGGAGACAGCGCAGAGTGTGCTATGTGCCTGTACAGAGGCACATTCATGGCACGTGGCAGCACACAGGAAGAAGGCACCTGGGCTGGGAGAGTCAGGAAGGGCCCTGCGTTCAAATAACCTTGAAGGAGTAGCAAGAGTTGATCAGGTTGGCTGGGTGGGAAGGGTGAGATGGGGAGGACAGGAGGAGGAGGGCATTGCAGACTAGGAGAAGAGTGTGGGTGCAAAATTCCTGGGGGTGAGAAGCAGCATGGCGGGCTGGGGGACAGGATATGAGGTGGGGAGTGGTGGGAGACAGGGCTAGAAAGCTGGGCAGGCATTGTACATTGAAGGCCACTTCACACCAGGCTGGGCTGCTGTACAGCTACTCTGTTATAGGGAAGAACTGCAGTGTTTATACATATGAGCGAATGGGCCACTTCACACATTAGTGAACTTTGCATGTTGGAAATGTCACTGTGGTAGAGTCTGAAGGGTACAGAAGGGGTGAAACTGGAGGCAAAGGGGACGGTGAAGAGACCTATATTCCCCATCAGAGCAGCCACTGAAGTCACAAGCTGGTGGCTCCTCCTGGCCTTCTTCTTCTTCCTCCTCAACTCCTAATCTTCCTCTAAGACCCAGTCCCTGAACTTCTGTGACATTTTCCACACTTGACCCTACTCTGCTCCCATTGCTAGAACCTTGGCTCAGGCCTCATCTTCTCTAGGCCAGCAGTGCCACCAGAGAGGCCTTTATAAAATGCAAACATGCCACTGCTTGCTTTAAAGCCTCCTTCCTGGAATGAAGTCCAAACTCTTCAGTAGATCCCATTGAGCCCGCCAGAAGGGCTCCCTGGGGCCTCTCCGGTTACCTCCCTGAACCCCCCGGTCCAGCCAAGCCTGATGAACTCCACAAACCCAGGCAACTCAGCCTATTCATGCCTCTACTTGAACTGACAACCTGACAAACATCCTCCCTTAGAAACATTTTGTGACACCCCTCCACCTCCCAGATAGAGTCAACATTGTCCTCCTTTGGGTGTCTATTGTAAAGTGAACAGATTTTTGTCATGGCATGTATAACATGTTATTAAAATCATATCTATCTCTTCCACAGGACTAGAAGTTCCTTGGCATCAGGGACCTTGTCTTACTCATATCTGCACATCATGTGCCTGGGATAATGTTTGACATATTAAAAATGCTTAATAAATGTTCACTGAGTGAATAGGTGGGTGGATGGTAAAATGATGAAGAAGCCTATTGCTTCCCAGGAAAATTATTGCAAGGGAGCATGCATAGAGCCTCCAGAGAGCCTCTGCTGACATTCCAGAAGAACCACAGGCTTAAGAAGATGTAAGTTCATTACTATATTCCTTCTTAAGAGTGAGATTGATGCTGGTTCATTATCTTACTCTTTCTTTTGACATTCCCCTAGAAAAGGGAGCATGCATCCTGTTTTACCTATAGGGAAACTGAGACCCAGAGTGAGTTAGTGACTTGTTTGAGTGTTGGTGTTCCAGGAAACCCTGGAACCCAGGTAAAAGCCCCACCTCTCCCTTTCTAATGGACTCTCCCACCTCTTCTCCATCACCAGGGTTACAATTTTGAGGGCATGACTTGGCTCTGATCCCACTTGCTAAATGTGTGACAATGTAAGCCACCCGCCTGACTGCGCTCCTGCACGGTGTAATGAGGTGTGAAAGTGAGGAAACGGAGAAGGGGGCACGTGAGCCATGGTGCCTGTTAACGAGAGTGTTCAGTCCAGACAGACGCCCCCAGGCCCTGGAGCATGGGGTCCAACATGAATGAGACCAGAGCTAGAGCCCAAGGTCAGGGGAAACCCGGGTCCCCTGAAGAGCAGGAGGCCTCCTACCGACACAGGTGGGGAGAGGCCGGTCCCAGGTCCTGCGCTCTCCACTCAGACACAGCAGCTCCTCACTGCCCCGCAGACTGTAGCCAGGGTCACAGCTGAAGGACACAGAACTTCCTGCAAAATGACCTCCATCATGAATCTTGTAGCCAAACTGGGGGGTTCCTGGGTCCTCACATTTGATGAGTTCAAAACCTGGGGAAGAGAAAAGAGGTACAGTGAGCAAGGTCAGGCAGGGACCATGCTTCTCCGCTTCCTCAAAGCCCACGTCCTCAAGGATGATGTCCTGGCCGCCACCGCAGGTGCTGAGGGGTTCACCACTCGGGACTCCCTCCTCATTTCTATGCTTGGTTGAGGGTATATTAAGGAGCATTCATTCCCCTGTTGCTATATGTAAATGATTTCAGCTTTTAATAGTTTTCAGGCCTAGGGTCTGGATTTTCTTTCTTTCTTTTTTATTTTTTGTTTGGCCTCCTAGCATTTTGCTAGTGGGAGCTGTTCTTTCCAATTTGCTCACTGAGACACTCTGATAAGAGGGTAATATGGAAAAGTGACATTAAATGTATGTTTAAAAGCTCGATTATGTCCCGCTTAAACATACTCTGTTGAAAAAGGCTGGAGAAGGAAACAGACTTGTACAGAGCTCTTGCTATATGGTGTTTGTGTTATCTCTCATTTGTTATTCACAGGAGTCTTAAGGTAGGTATAATTATCTGCATTTTACAACACAGAAGGAAGGTTAATTAAATTGTTCCAAACTCCCAATTTTTATTACAGAAATGGAATTCAAAGGTGACTCTATTTAATCCTCTTCCACGAACCCACCTGCTGTACGTAATAGACAGAGATCTCTCTGCCAGACAGCCTAGGGCCCAGGCAAGGAGATTTTGAGTATACTCATTGGGTATTTTTTTCCCTAACAGCTCTATTAAGACATAATTCACATATAGTCACCCATCTGAAGTGTACTCTTCAATGTCTTTTAGTATATTCACATAGTTGTGCAACCCTGACCACAATCAGTTTTAGGACACTTTCATCAGGTCAAACAGAAGCTCTACACACATTTTCCCCCAACTCCCTCAGCCCTAGGCAACTATCTATTTACTATCTGTCTCTATGTATTTGCTATTCTGGTCAGTTTATATAAATGGAACCATATAATTTGTGGCCTTTGTGACTAGTTTCTTTCATTTAGTGCAGTGTTTCCAAGGTTCATCACGTTGAAACATATATCAGCACTTCATTCCTTTTTATGGACAAATAATCTTCCACTGTTTGGACATACCACTTTTGTTTTTCCAGTCATCAGCTGATGGATACTCGTTGGGTCGTAAAACAGTCTGTAAGAGCATATTCTTTGTATCCAGTGGGCCACTAGAAGCTCAAATAAACGAATAAAATGGAAAGGCCTGACTTCATCGTCCACTCAGATGCAAGAAAGACTTACTGGAAAACTGCAGTTCAAAGCCCTTGCTGGTGTTTTCAGCGTCAGTGATGAAATCAAGCCACAGACTGCTGGATGTGCTGTTCAAAGTCACCCCCATCATCTCAGAGCGGCTGAATGCCCCCAGCAACCGGGCAGAATTGTTGTTGCCATCATAGACCTGCACACAGGAGAGACCCCCAACCCAATGTCGTCAGCACGGCCTTATTTCTAACACCCATTCCCGGAGCCCCACTGTTAGAGGGTCAGTGAGTCATCAGATGCCAGGAGGACGGCAGAGTGAAGCTAGTAACTGAGCAAGTTATCTACTTTCCACTTGGTGTCAGTTCTGTGCCCAGCCCATCTCCAGTGTGGATATCCAGTTCGTTGGCAACTGGTTGCTATTCTGACTTATCCAGTGGAGATCTGATCTTGTTCCCGCAACTCCCATATGGCAACAGCTTACTCTCAGCAGCCTGGGGAGGCCAGGTTGGGGCTGCCTGACTCCCAGGCCATCTGTTTTGGCAGACAGGCAGGCTGAAAGCATTTTACAGCTCTACGTTGCTAAACACCCAGTCTTGTCCCTCCGGCAAATAAGACAGCCATCCTCCCACCTGATCTCACCCCACTGCTGCAGTGGCCTGTCTTGACCACTCTGCCAGCCTTGATCCCTGCGATCCAGGCAGGATGGAGTTAAAATGACCAGTGTGTCACAGTGAATTTCCCTTCCTCAATCTCAGCCTCTGCCCCTTCCCTCCTAAAATGAGAGCTCCAGTTAGGGCCTGCTGGGCTTGCCAACGGTGGAATCGTGCAGGCATCTGGCTTCCCTGACTCCCATCTGTCCCCTGAACTTCTGAGCACCAGCAAAGACAACAATCATCAGAATAATGAACTGGCTCCCTAGGTTTTGAGGTTGCTGCTCCTTTCTAGATAATTGTACAAATAGCAACAGAAGTTGTGATTGAGTGAAAGACCCCCTGGAGCTTTGGTAAATATCAAAGATGGGATCTATGGGTGGGTGATGAATATTTGTACATAGTGTATGATGTGGTACCAGCTGCCAGCAAATTGGAACAATATTTCCATTCTACTATTTATGAAGCAAAGCTTTCTAAAAGAAGCCATCCTTCAAGCTAACAGTGCTGTATATTACAGAGATGTGTTTAGGCTCCTGGGAGCCTCAAGTCTGTTTCCAGATCCTATGTGTAATTGCTTTATATCACTGATAGGCTGAGAGAATTACAGGGTTCCATCAGACATGGAGATGACACCAGTTTAAAGAGCTTAGCCCACTGCTGCATTTAAATTGTCATCAAAATATTTTTACCCATTAAAACATATATTCCTATATAGGGATGGCCAGGGTGCTCACTGGCTGAGCGTGGTGCAGACCACACTGTGCCGAGGGTTGCGATCCCCCTTGCCGTTCCAAAAAAAAAAAAAAAAAAAAAAAACCAAAAAACCAAAAAACCAAAAACATATTAAAATTAATAGATCAAGGCATTAGTCATCAATGGTTGCTAACATCCAATAAGAAAGGCAACCATACATCATGTGTTTCTTAATGGAAGACACATCGCCCCCTATGAAGTTATCTTGCCAAAAAAAACAAAAACAAAAACAAAAACAAACCTGATCAGATCAAGCCACTGGACCCAATTCCTAACTTACAGGAAATACCCAGGAGAGAGGAACATACAAGATGATACCCTGGGAAGGTAAGCAGCAAAATCCAGAATGTGAAAAATTCCCCTGAATAGATGACCTGATTTCTTCAACAAATAAATTACAAAGGGGAAAAGAAAAGAGATGAAGAGAGAAATCTATAGATTAAAAACACATGAGACAACTTATCCGATGTGTGAAACTTATTTGGATCTGGATTCAAATAAACTAAATTTAAAAAATATTATGACATTTATGAGATAGTTGGAAACTTGAACACTCACTGGATATATAATGGTATTAAGAAGTTATTGTTAATTAATAAAAAGTATAATGGGAACAGGATTTTTTCCTTAATTTCACAGCATAATTCATCCTAACTCATTAAAAACAAAAACATTTTTGTATCATTACAATAAAATATTCACTGCAGAAAATTTATAAAACAGAAAAGCACAAAGAAAAAAACAAGCACTCATAACATTTTGGTGATTATGCATTTCTTAGTTCTATATATTTCTTTCTTTACATGCATTTGTTTCTTTATGTTTTTTTATAAAAACAAGATTGAAATATATGGCACCTGCTCTTTGTCTTAATGTAATGGTATATTTTTCAAGTCATTTAATATTTTTTCCTCAACAGTGTTTATTAGCTGCAGAGATTTCCATCATAAATTTAACTCAATCCACAATATAATTATTCACGTATCAGTTTCCAGAATGTGTGCTCTGACACATAAGACGCACTCAAAAGTATGATGGGTAAATAAACCAATATTTTCTTCTAGTACTTTTGTCTTTAAATCCACCTGGAACTTATTTTGGCATATGATATAAGATTCTACCTTTTCTCCCTGGTTGATTAGCCATTTAACCAAACCCTACCTGGAAATATTCCACCCACCAATTCCACCAATTTTAAATCCATTTTATCATATATATAGTTCACATGTAATTATATAAATTTGGTTTTATCAACTTTCTTTTTCTTTTCTAAATTTTTTTTTCCAGATTTACTGAGGTATAATTGGCAAATAAGACTGTATGTATTTACATTGTACAATGTCATGTTTTGATATAAGTATACACTGTGAAATGATTACCACAATAAAGGCAATAAACATATCCATCACCTCACATAGTTATCATTTTTTCAATGTTGCATTTGTCTATTTGTCTACTCCTGTGCATGACCCACACTGTTTTACATATAATACATTTATAATTTATAATACACTTAAATATTTAGTAAGGGAAGTCTTCACTTGTCTTCTTCTTTTTTTTTTTTTTTTGTCTTTTTTCGTGTCCAGCAACGGATCGCAACCCTCAGTGTCGCGCCCGTACCGGACTGGGACCGGCAACGGGATCGCAACCCTTGGTTTTGCGCCCGCACCTCGCTCAGCCAGTGAGCGGGAACCGGTCTGTACGTGGGATCCGAACCCTCGGCGGGAGCGCCGCCGCACTCCCAAGCGGCGCACTGTAGCAGTGCGCCACCGGGCCGGCCCTTCACTTGTCTTCTTTTAACTTAGAAAAAAATTCTCCCATATTTACTCTTCTAGATAAACTCCAGAAGAATTTTCCCAAATTAAAAAACAAAACAAAAACTGAAAAAATAACTTGTGTATTTCTGACTGAGTTAACATTAAATGTACAGACTGATTTGGGAAAAATGAATCTGTGTGACATTAAGTATTTCTATCCATATATATGGTGTCTGGTTTCATTTAATCAAGTTGTTTACGTCTCTCAGTTAAATTCTGTACTTAATTCTGGATATTTAAATACTTTTGATTTCTATTGGAAATTGGGCTTTTGTGTATATTTATTTCCTAGCAGGATATTGCCTGATGGTCCAGTTCATCATTATATAAAGGTGATGGGAATGTCTCTTGCGAAATCCAAGAGAATCTATGCACATCTGTTACATCCAGTAAGATGGCTCAGCAAGATGGCCAGTGTCAAAATGAATATGCAAAGTGGATAGCTTTCTACACACAATTACAATGTGGGCATCATTTCTATGCAAGTTCCTGCATGCCCACTTGCCCAGGTGTGCTTGAGTTTCTCGAGGGCATACATCTAGAATGGAGAAGCTGGCTGCAGGGAAGGCACATCCTCAGCTTTGTTAGGTATCGACAGACTGCTCTCACTAGCAACCTATGACAGAGTTCATCGCTCTACAGCCTCACCAACACTTGGTATTTTCAGGCATTATGATTTTTTCCAATTTGATGGGTATAAAATGGTATCTCATTCTAATTTGTACTTTCTTGATTACCACTGAGGTTGAGCACCTTTTTGTATGTTTATCAACAATTCTACTGGCCTTTTCTGTGAATTGCCTGCTCATATCCTGTTCATCCATGAGCATGAAATCTCCCTGCATTTATTTTAGTTATATCACCTTCAAAATAAAATTTTATAATTTTCTCAGTAAAGATGATACACATTTTGGGGGACTTATTCCTAGGTATCTTACAGTTTTTGTTTCTATCAGAAATGAGATCCCTCCCCCAACCCGGTTATGTTTTAATTGGTTGTAGAAACACCAGAAGCTTGGCTGGACTGTTTTATTGGTTCTGATAGTTTACCGGTTGATTCCTTTGTATTTTCTAGATAAAAGAGACAATTTTCTACATTTCTTTCTAATTTTTATAGCTTTTGTGATCTTTTCTGATATAATCGTTTGCTTTCAGCACAATGCTGAATACTATTGGGGAGGGTGGGACTATCGGTCTTGTTCTTGACGTTACTGGAAATCCTTGGGAAGTTTATTTTTGCCATGAAGCATAAGGTTTGTTGTAGGTGTTTGGTAGAAACTTTTTATCAGATTAAGGAGGTTCTATTCATAGTTTTATGAGATATTTTTAAGAACCATAAATGGGTATTGAATTTTATCACGATATTTTGGGGTGTATTAGCAGGCTAAGGTGTTTTTCTCTTCTAATCTATTTATAGGGTATTAGGCTGAGCCACATGAAATTGCCAATATTTGTCCAGCTTTGACCTATGAAACTGGCAATTTCATATCGTTTGTGTAACAAATAACATTATGAGCTTTTAAATATTGATACATTCTCACATTCCTGGAATCAAATCTAGTTGGTCATCTTTGTTTTAATACATAGCTAGATTCAGTCTGATTCTGTATTTGGGATTTTTAGATCTATGATCATAAGTGAGACTAGCAGTGGAAGCTTATTTTTATATGTTTAACTTTTTAAATTATAAATTGACAAATTAGAGTTGCATATATGTATGGGGTAAAAAGTGATGTTATTACTTATACATACAATGTAGAATAATTATATCAAGTTAATTAACATACTTATCACCTCAAATACCATTTTTTGTGGTGAGAACATTTGAAATATACTTAGTGATTTTGAAATGTATAGTACATTGTTATTTACAATATTCACCATGCTGTACAATACACCTCAAAGGAAAAAAAACATTCCTTCTGTCTAATTGAGGTTTTGTACGCTTTGACCATCATCTCCCCATTCCCCGA